AGAGCCGGAGAGGCAGCACCCACATCCACGTGGGGAACCCTCGCCCAGAGTCGGGAAGAGACGGGTGACCCGGAAACCCAGGCACACGCTCAACTGCGACCCAGCCCACAAGTGTGGCCCCTGGACCCGAGCGTCCCCTCCGTTGGCATCTCCCCTCTTTCTGTCCGGAGGGGTCCAGGGGAGCCGCAGAGGGCTCCAGGCAGAAGTGTATCAGGGAGCGTGTCGCCTGACGGACTTCAGGGTGTTTGCTCCCCTTGGAAATGCTGGGTGTCTGTCGTGCAGGAGCGCAGATGGCAGGAGAAGCTGGAGAGGGCATCAGGGGCTCCCCCTTAGAGAACTCCGGGGGGCGAGAGAGCATTTAAGGGTGTGATGGGGAGGAGAGGCTGATGTAGCATCTTTTTGGGTTTTTTTCCCTACCCAGGAGGATATTTTTTCCATTGCTTTTCAGAGGGAGTGGAAGGGAGGAAGGGAGAGAGAGAGAAACATGGATGTGAGAGAGGCACAGCCAGGGGTTGCCTCCTCGGGGCTGGGGATCGAACCTGCAACCGAGGTACGTGCCCTTGTCTGGAATCGAACCCAGGACCCTTCAGTCCCCAGGCTGATGCTCTAACCACTGAGCCAAACCGGCTGGGGCCAGACCAGTAATGATGATTACATCCCCGCTGGCTTGAAAAAGGGTCAGATATGGCTTAAAATACAAGGCATTCGGACAATAAAGTTGTTTGATTTTCCTTTTTCCCCCCAAGAGCCTCAATCTTCCCAGAAGCAAAAATAGAAACATGGAAGTCCACACCCGCCGGAGAAAGACAGTAGCTCTCGGTGGTGCCAGTTCAAAAAATAACCAAGTTATTAGGAATTAAGGGCCTGTTTCCGCCATGCCTGTTTTCGCCACCGAGAGGAAGTGAAAGAGGGACTTCAGGGTACTTGCCACTGGGAAATCGGAACCAAGAAAGAATGCTGCTGGGCAAGGGCAGTGGCGCACAGTAGGGCTGTTCCGGGAGAGTGGAGTGGAAGCAGCCCCCAAGTCACTCTAGGCCTCCATCCACGGCTCTCTCTCTTCCCCTCTTCTTTCCTGCCCTGTAAGCCTCCCGGCGAAGGTTGTGTCTGTGTTTTTAGGAAAAGCTGCAGCCCCTCGGTGAACGTGCCGGGGGCCGTCAGACCTACGCATCTGTGGGGCGCGTACAGGGACAGAACAAGTGACCTGAGAATGCCCAGGGCGAGGACCGTGTGCCTCGGTGGGTAGGTCACTAGGATCCTGTCCGGAGAGGGGACCGCAGAGTGACCCGTGTCCTCAAAGAAACACGAAGCAGCTCTAAACGTTAGGTTGCATCCACACTGGGGTTCTCTTGTGTGACCACAAGCGCCCTGACTAGGGCCGCAGCTGTTAACGGGTATTTTTGGGTGGTGATGGCTGGGCGGCTGGGTGCCTGACACCGAACACAGGCTCTCAATGGATGTTAAAGAGAGAGAAAAAAGAGAGAGAGGAAGCAAGCAAGGTGGGGTTTAAAAATAAAAAAAGGGGGGAAGTAGAAAGAGAGAGAAAGAGGAAGTCTGCCAGAAAGTGATAAAGAAACGAAAGGAGAGGTACAGTCAGCACGCAGAATGCTGGAGACAAGGTCCCTGGCAGCTGCTACCCAGGGTCTGTGCCATTGTCCTGGGTTTCCTAGCAACCAAAGCAAGAGGGAAACACAATCAGCGGTCACGTTCACAGTGCGCATAAGATAAACACGGATCAGACGCCCAGAAGAATTCTCCCATGGGCCCTTGGCGAGGGAACACGGTGTCATATGGCGCGGCCCCGGCACCATTTCCTGCAGTAAACATGGGATCTGATTCTGAACAGTTGCCTCTCAGGGCAGCCTCCGTGCAGGTGACTGGCTTAGTGCCGAGAGCCCCTCGGCACACTCACGAAGCCACAGGAGTGTCACAGAAGTGAGCATGGTTCAGAGATCAGTGTTACGATATGTTGGGTGTGTGTGTGTGGCAGAGGTGGAACCTACCTTCCCGGCAAGCACACCGTCACCTCCAGTCCAAGCCCAGGACAGACATGGCCGTGGAGATGGGACATCAGCTCGGAGGCCTCCTCCACGGGACACACCAATAGGGTCCTTCTTGAATGCCAGCTTGAACCTACCTGCCTGCTCTGATCGAAGGGTATTGATAGATATCCTCCGGTCAGTGCCCTCTGAATATTATTTCATAGAATAATGTTTTGGTACAAATGAGGCAAGGGGGAGTTTGGAATCACAGTGGCTGGCAAGAGAGGAGAAATATTCTGTGTCAAGGACAGAACATTATGATGTGACAGGCAGACCAAGGGAGGGTAAATGGACATTCTTGCATGAAAAGGCTGAGAGCACCAGGGCAAGGGCTAGATTCAAACCCAAGGTGGCTGCAGTGTTCACATCGCACCCTCCCCCCCAGGTTAAACAGGAAGACCTCTTCCTGTGTTAGAGTTTGGGTTAGACAGAGCTGATTGGAGGGGAGACTGAGGGGTTTCCTTGACACACCCCCTCTCTAGGTGCTTTTCAACCTCTGATTCAAGAGTTAACGCAAGAGCCTGGCCGGTGTTGCTCAGCGGT